ATCTATCACTCCTTTTTATGTCCTATCTTCCTTACTCAGCTCAGATTTTAAAGTTTATCCTTCCGTGCGGCTGCACCTGCTCAGTTACATAAGGTTAATTAGAAACAGTTCGACCTGCTTCCTAACCTTATATATGTGCATGGCCATAGCCTCAAGTGGGCAGACCACACTGTGTGGCAATCCTGTAATCCTAATAAGCTTGCTTTCCTGGGCTCCAAAGTGACGAGTTCACATCAGTCTTTAAACTTCCACTCATGGTCTCACCTAATGAACTTGCCTTCATACTTCATTGACTGAAGTAGGGCCGGTCAGAGTGGAGCTCCTCATCTTACTAAGACAGCTCTACCCAGTTTCCTACATCTGGATCTACTCTCTGCCATCCTAGTGTTAGATGAAGCTTTCCACTCCCTTCAAAGGCAGTCCTGCCCTCTGTACTTTACTCCTTTGAAGGGCTTTGCTCCTACAGTTATATTCTTCTCTCGTGCATAGTCCATTTCTTCTTTATTACATCATTCCCTTCAACATACAAATGAACCCTAGTAATCCTCTCTCTTAGTTTTCTATTCACTGCTGTAACAAATTTCCACAGACTTAGCATCTTAACCAACACAACTTCACCCTCTTACCCTTCTGTAGATAGATGTCTCTACAGAAATGTCTCACGGGGCTAAAGTGAAGGTGCAAGCAGGGCTGCATTCCTTTCTGGAAGCTCTCCAGAAGAATCCATCTGCTTGCCCATTCCAGCCTCCAGAGGATACCCACACTCCAGCTCACAGTGCCCGTTCCTCATCTCCAAAGCCAGCAATGTTGCATCTCTGTGCCTTTCCTCCATAGTCATGAATTCATATGATTCTTTCTTAAGCTTCCCTGTTCTACTTCTCAGGACCTTGCAATCACATTGGAACCACCTGGATAATCCAGGATAATCTCTATTTTCAAGTTAGCTGATTAGCAACCTTAATTCCATCTTCAATTTTAATTCTCCTTTGCCATGTAACTTAATGTATTTACAGATTCCGGGGATTGAAGTATTAGGGCCTGGAAGTATTTGGGGGCCATTATTCTGACTGACTAGTACACCTCAAAGAAAAAAGCTTCCCTTGAGTCTAGAATCTAATCTGTTTCTCTGTTTCAGTTCAGTCAGAATTCTTAGAAGAGTTATCTTTACTCACTCTTTCAGTCCTGTGGGACTGAACCGTTAACCTATGCGGTCTGTGCTAACTTGGGGTAGTTAGTGTTATAATTGAATTGTAGGACATCCATTTGGTGCCCAGTGAGTGGGAGAATTAACATGTGTGGGAAAACCCCACGCACATTTGGTTGACAGTAAAGGAACATAGTGTTTGCCCTTCTATGCAGTTAAATTTGAGAGGTGATTTCCTGAACCCAGCAATTGCCCTTTTAGGTATCTACCCTAGAGACACTCAGACACGTGCACAGGTACACCTGGATATAAGTGTTCATTGCAGTACTGATTGCAACAGTGACAAAATGGGGAAACCACCCGTAGTTAGAAGAGGAGTACATATATATATAGTTTATTAGTATAACTAGTACAACATTTATGTCATCCCAGAAGCATCACTAAAACCAGTTTCAAATGGATATGTAAAGTATGATACTATTCATGTAAATGTATATACATGTATATAAATGAATACACATGTACATATTCACACTTTTGACAGATACGTACCTTTATAATACAAGCACAAGCACACCAAATTCAGTTTATTAGGTACTTCTGAAGACAGAAAGAGGGAAAGGATACAGGAGCTGTAATGTTAGTTATTTTTTTTGTTTCTTTAAAAAGAAAAAAGATTTACAATAAATGTTGCAAAACATTAACTTTTGTTAAGTTTCTGGTGCAGGCTGGAGGGGGATGGGAGGAACCTAGGCTCTTTGTTATATTCTTTTCTGTATTTTTGTGTGTTTGAAATATGCTAGAAATTAATTTTTAAAGGAAAATGCCTACACTTCTATAAATTGTTTAATAAGAAAAGTTTTGATTTTGAAAGGCTGAAAATTTTAAAAAATTGAACTTGTTCAATGTGTCTTGGGGCAACCTTAAAAATGTCCCAATTTTTTACTAAGCAAAAGAAGACGAAAAATTGTAGAAAACAATTATGCTGTGTACCCTGGAAATATCTCAAACGGTTTAAGGCTGGGTCGAAGGAAGAAAACTGAAGCCATGACAGTTGCAAACGGCATGACCCCTTTGCCCCTGATCTTTCATCTAATAATCTGGAAACAGGCCCCTAACCTGGCCCCTAAGCAAGCAAACCACCTGTCTCTCACTCTAACCAGCTCTTCATTATCAGCCTGTATTTGCATAGTGCTGCCCCTTAATAAATTTTTTTCCAATTTTTCTTTTCCCCTTTTGGAAACTTGAGAAGCCACTGTCATTTTCCAAATGGTGAAAAAATGGCCTTGTCCAGAATACCTGACAGCTGGTTTGGATCTGGGGGCACTATGGGGCGCCCGGAAGCCAGTGACACACGTGGTCAAGCCGCGTGCTGACGATGCTCCGTGCATGACGCCTGGCTCCGAGCATCCGCAGGAATTGGGCTGTGCCGGCAATTCTGTAACGAGTCTTGTCTACCGTAGAGGAAATCATCAACTTTATCAGAGCCTGGTCCTGACCTTAGCCTTTTCCATAAATTTTGACTAGAAGAGAGATGAAAGTAGGAAGCTCTTCTTTATTCCACCGACATCCCAAAGAATAGATCTTAAAGTAATGGAACTTCATGCGTAAGTTGTATGTGTCCTCATAGAAAGAGACAAGGACTTTTTATGTCATCCCAGAAGCATCACTAAAACCAGTTTCAAATGGATATGTAAAGTATGATACTATTCATGTAAATGTATATACATGTATATAAATGAATACACGTGTACATATTCACACTTTTGACAGATACGTACCTTTATAATACAAGCACAAGCACACCAAATTCAGTTTATTAGGTACTTCTGAAGACAGAAAGAGGGAAAGGATACAGGAGCTGTAATGTTAGTTATTTTTTTTGTTTCTTTAAAAAGAAAAAAGATTTACAATAAATGTTGCAAAACATTAACTTTTGTTAAGTTTCTGGTGCAGGCTGGAGGGGGATGGGAGGAACCTAGGCTCTTTGTTATATTCTTTTCTGTATTTTTGTGTGTTTGAAATATGCTAGAAATTAATTTTTAAAGGAAAATGCCTACACTTCTATAAATTGTTTAATAAGAAAAGTTTTGATTTTGAAAGGCTGAAAATTTTAAAAAATTGAACTTGTTCAATGTGTCTTGGGGCAACCTTAAAAATGTCCCAATTTTTTACTAAGCAAAAGAAGACGAAAAATTGTAGAAAACAATTATGCTGTGTACCCTGGAAATATCTCAAACGGTTTAAGGCTGGGTCGAAGGAAGAAAACTGAAGCCATGACAGTTGCAAACGGCATGACCCCTTTGCCCCTGATCTTTCATCTAATAATCTGGAAACAGGCCCCTAACCTGGCCCCTAAGCAAGCAAACCACCTGTCTCTCACTCTAACCAGCTCTTCATTATCAGCCTGTATTTGCATAGTGCTGCCCCTTAATAAATTTTTTTCCAATTTTTCTTTTCCCCTTTTGGAAACTTGAGAAGCCACTGTCATTTTCCAAATGGTGAAAAAATGGCCTTGTCCAGAATACCTGACAGCTGGTTTGGATCTGGGGGCACTATGGGGCGCCCGGAAGCCAGTGACACACGTGGTCAAGCCGCGTGCTGACGATGCTCCGTGCATGACGCCTGGCTCCGAGCATCCGCAGGAATTGGGCTGTGCCGGCAATTCTGTAACGAGTCTTGTCTACCGTAGAGGAAATCATCAACTTTATCAGAGCCTGGTCCTGACCTTAGCCTTTTCCATAAATTTTGACTAGAAGAGAGATGAAAGTAGGAAGCTCTTCTTTATTCCACCGACATCCCAAAGAATAGATCTTAAAGTAATGGGACTTCATGCGTAAGTTGTATGTGTCCTCATAGAAAGAGACAAGGACTAGAGAGAGAAAGCTTCTCAGAACAATTTAACAGGAAGGAGTTCATTCCTGATTTTGTTACATCATAGATATTTTTGACCATGAGACTAAGGTCAATCTTTTGATTCAAGGTCCTACATAGAGCATTACAGATGCAAAAGACCAATACTTAACAGTTCAGCCACCACTTCAGGAAATGAAGATAGAGTGCAAGCCGCAATGTAACTTCCCGATGAGAAGAAGGACTCCCTGAGCAGAAATCTTCACTACCCCAAAACACCACAGAATTCTTTTGAATGTTACTTCTGCTCAGATGCTTTAAAATTAAAACATGAATTTATCATCCTTTCTGGTCCATAAAAAGCATCAATGATATATACCTCACCAAAGATGGTTCCATTGATTTGCAGTAGTGATGATTCAACTCAGTCTTGGAGTATGTTACTTGACCTGTATGAGCCAATGTTTTCAGTGTTTACTGCCATTAAAAAAAAAAAAAGTTGATATCAAACAGATGAAATAAGAGATAACCCAACATTTCACTTAAATTAAAAGCAGCCTTGCACTGGAATTTACTGTTGAGTAAAGTTAAGGTTGCCTTTTATTTTATTGACACTTGTATTTAATTCGAATTAAGGCACTTTATATAATAATATTTATAGCAGTAATTTATTGCTTACCATGAGGTAGGCACTGTGCTATCACTTTATATACAATGTCTAACTTACCCTTTTAAAAAGTCCTACAAGGAGAGCATTAATATTCCCTTTCCCAGATCAGAAAGCTAAGGCATAGAGAGATTAAGTAACTTGTCCAGTCTCACAAAGCTAATACATGATAAAGCCAAATATTTTATCACACATCTGTCTGATTCCAGAGCCCATCCTTATATTACGTGTCAATGAAATTGGTTTTTCAATGCTGTAAAATAAACTGAATGCAAAGAGTTCAGCTCCTGTGCATTTTTCTGTGAAAGATTGGTTTTGATTTCATCAAAGTTGTAGGGCTTCAAATCAGTGCTGCTTCGGGCTGAGAACAGCTGGACTGCAAACCACATAACCTGGAGCTCCCTGAAGAGCCACTCACCTCTTTGTCTTTGCGGCCGGCCGATGCTCTGTGTGAATAGTTGTCAAATAGCACACAGGCAGGATGGATGTCATCAGGCTGCCCTGGAGGTAAGTTATCCTCCAGGGCTTCACCTGGGAGGTGGGGATGGATCTGGGTGTGGAGGTACTCCGTGGGGTGCATACCCTGGCCAGCCTTTGATCCTCAGCTTTGCAGACTCAGAATGCTGGTTTTATCATCAAAGAGCATATTAATGTGTCAGGGACACAGTCACACTCATGTAGCTCACTTGGCTGATACCTAAAAGCTGAATAACTCGTTGATTTATAATGAAAAATATGAAGGTCAGAAACACAAGAATGTTAAGGTCTTTAGAAACAGTGTGCATTCCCCGAGAACACAGTGAAAGCCTAACTGGGGGTTCACTTGGGAAATATGGGGAAAAAATTAGAAGAATCCAGTGTTTATTGTGCTGAGAGAGAGCATTCATCTACACACCTCAGGGGAGTCCTGCCAAACCAAAGAGAACAGAATGGCTCTCCCAGGACCTTTACGTTCCTTCTCCTGCTTGCTAAGGTGGCTGCTAACTCTGCTACTGATGGACACATTATTTCTTTGTATAGACTAATGAATCTAATCTGTTTTTGGTCATGTTTTATTGGTCAGACCTTTCAGGTGAATTTGCATTTCTCTGCAAAACCCAGTCATTGAACTTTTTTAAAGTTTAATTCTTCCAGAGCAATTTTATTGGTGAGCATTCTACTATAACTTCAGTGTGCTAATGACAGACATTTTCAAAAGCCACTGATTTTCCCATAGAAATTGCTTCTAATTTCCAAGTCAGTATATAAGGTAAATGAAGAAAACAATTACATTCATTCACTCAGTGAACATTTTGGGGGCACAGCTACTGGGTGTCAGATGTGTGCCATGTAAGTTACTGTTTGAGCAAAGGAATACAAAGATGAGTGACAGCTCCTGCCTCCAAGGAGGCTGCAAGTGTATAAACACATATATATAAACAAAGCAGATACCAGAAAAGAATATCTGTGAAGACTTGTTTATAAAATGATAGTATTTCATCGTAAATAGCAAAAAGAACAAATTGCCATGCAAGTGTAGACTAAGGAAAAGAGATGGCTTCCCCGAGAATGAATAAAAATTTTTTAAGTAAGATGAGAATAAAGGGCATTCCAAAAGAAGGAGCCACTTACATAAAGACACAGGACTAAGCAGTGCCTGCAGGGAACCGGGAAGGTGGGCCCCTGAAGGCTGGAAGTGGAGACATAGGTAGTTGAATGGAACAAGGCAGAGGGCTGGAGTTACGTTAGCTCTTCCGGGTCAAAGGCCCTTAGAGACGTTTCCTGCCTCTCTGAAGCCCCTTCCTTCAGCCCTGCAACATTCCGCTCTATGTTCCCTTCTTGTGCCTCTGGTTATTAATTCTCTGTCTTTTTCAGAAGCTTCTGTTTCCTCAGTTCCTTCTTTAAATCAACAATTTAAAAAAATTGTTGATCACATAATGCATGGTTGTGGAATGATGTTAATAAAGTGTAAGTGCAAAGTGTGAAAAATCAAGTTTCCCTCCCACCTATAACGGCCAGTCACAGTTCTGCTATCCTTCTCACAGGGACAACCACTGATATCAGCTCCCTGCCTATCCTTCAGGAGAGTCTCAGGCAGCATCCTACACGTGTGTGCGTGCATGTGTGTGTGTGTGTGCACACGCACGTGTGTGCAGATGCATGGGTATGTATGTATGTATAAAAGAATACTACTGCATCTTGCTTTCTTCACTTTAAAACAGATTTTGGAGATCGTTCCTTATTTTTTCATTCTTTTATTCACTCATTCAACAAGTATTTCCTGTCTATCATGCTGCCAGGCACACTGACGAAATCTCTACCTTCACAGGACTTATATTCCAGCAGAGGAGGTACAGGAGAGACAGACCCCAAACAAGCAGTGAGCTGTGTACTGCGTGCCAGACGGCGGTAAGTGCTGTGGAAAATGAAGAGGAGCGCAGGCTGGGTGGAAGCTGGAGAGTGGTGGCTGCAGAATCTAAAGGGGCAGAGGGAGGGAGGGAGAGAGGAGCTTCGTTCTTCTATCCATCCAGAAGCATTCTGTCAGATGACTGGACCACAACTGGAGTAATCAGTCCCCTACAGACATTTACTTTGTTTCTACTAGTTTGCTATTACAGTGATGAAATTCTTGTACACAGGTCATTTGATACAGTAAGAGTATATTTTGTTGGCTAAATTCCTAGAAATAGAATCACCATTTCAAAGATCAGTGCAGTATTAATTTTAACAGATATTGCCAAATTATTTTCCGATGAGTACTAATTCACATTCCTTTCAGTGGTGAATGAGAGGGCCACAACTTCTTCAACACTACATCATCAAATTTTGTGACGTTTGCCTATCTGATAAGTAAACCCACGAAAGCTTGTTGTAAGCCTAATTTGCATTCCGCCTTTTTTGAGTGAATGTCTCCTCGTGCTTTTTAAGGCCACTTTTACTCCCTGTAAATTGTCTGTTCAAATCCTTTGCCAAATTCTCTAGTATGTAGAGGAGAGAGTGGTTGTTTTGTTTTGTTTCATTTCTGATTTATGGAAACTCTTCTGAGTATAGAATTTATATCCTTTTTGGGATGAGGGTAGTAAATATTTTACCCAATTGTCAGTTCTCTTTTGACTTTTTATATTAAATGGCATTTGTGATGTGGGAAATTATTATTATGTAGTCCAGCCAATCCATCTTTTTATGGCTTCAGAAATTATTTTTTTTAATTTCTTGTATTTTTTTCTTGTACTTTAGCAGATTTTTAAAAATATTTAAATATTTGATCCATTTGGAATTCATTTAATTCTCTTGCATTTTCTGGGTAAACAATTGCTTTACTTTTTCCAATTTTTATTTTTATTAATTTCTCTTATCTAATTATGTCGGCTAAATAATAGCAGTGATAAAGAAGACTTAACATTTTGCTGATCTTAATGGGAATGTTATTCTCATACAAGCTTCTTTGTCAGAGCTATAGAGGTGCAAGTCTCCATTCACAAATTTTTAATCCTAAAAAATTAGGATACTTACCAAAGGACAGACTTTTTGAAAGTGAAGAGGATTATGGGTAGGTTCTTTCTAGTGATGGAGATTTATCATGAGGACATTTGGAAAAATTAGGGGTACAAGAAACCATGGCAGAGTGGTTCTGATTATTCTTTGTCTCATTCTTTTTTGCTATCCTAACATTATTATAACACTTACATATATGAGGTTGTCTGAAATTAATCTCCTTAAGGATTCAGGCTAGCTATAGAGGCAAAATGCCCCAAAAGGAAAATTAATGGATTAGTGTCTTGCTCTGAAATTGCTCATTCTTTAACAGACATACCAGAGGAAAATGAAATCCTACCATTTTCATAGGGATGAAATCTGAATGACCTAATAGTACACTAGCTCATCAGCCTCTAACTTAGAGACTATTTTTTTCCTCAAATGTACATAAGTTTGGCCCCTACTTTTCTAACTTATCAATACTCAGTTTTCCTGTTTAGAGAAATTGCTTTTAGATTGTGCAAAGGCACTCACCTTTATCCTCCACAGTGTCTTCAATATAACAGATGTTTAAGAAGATGTGTTGAATGAATGACTGTTAGGTAATTAGTGCAAACTGTGTGGTTTTGTAGTAGCAATATGTTGCAATATCTGATGAACAAAAGAAAGGCTTTATTGAGTCTGACTTGCAATCAGCTTCTGAAAAGATGAGTATGGTAATTTCAAAATGTCATTTTAATAAAAATTTATTTTTGATTGCTAGCAACTAGATTTATAGTGACACTTTATCAATCATTATGGTTAAAATTTACTCTATTGTCTATATTTATTTTCCTTTGAAAGCATGCAAAAGGCACTATTACACTTAAATCTCATGTTCATTAACAGCATGCATGTTAAGGTATGGGCATTTCTAAAGCCCCAAATTGCTGTCCTTTTAGAGGTTTTAGCCTCTGATTTTCTCAAGTTGCATTCTGAGAGTAGAGTTGAATAATTTATCTATTCCACATGTTACACGATAAAACTAGGAAAATTTTAATAATCTGGAAAAGATTTTTAAAAATCTGGAAGAGATTGTTTTAAAAAAAACTCTTTGGTTTAATTCTCTAAATTCTATTTAGAAGATCTGATTGATTCAATTGTCACAATTTGGCATCACTTTCCTCCATGGGTTAATTCTCTCCTTAAGTTCCTGGCTATCCTGTAGATCAGTAGCTTTTGAGCACTTTGGCCACAATCCACAGAAATCAGTATATTTTATATTGTGATCTTACGCATACATGCATATAAGCTCTTAAGATACTACTCAAGTGATCTACATGTGCACCGTATGATACTTCTGTTCTTTATCCTATCCTATCCCATTTTGCTCTTTTCATCCAAAAAACTGCTAGTTATCACATGCTAAATTGATTTTATAACTCTGCAGTTTGAAAAACAATGCTGTAGATCAGTGCTTCTCGAAGTTTAAGGGTCATATGAATCACGTAGGGGCCTTGTTAGACCTGTGGAGTCTGGTTCACGAGGCCTGTGAACCTGCATTCCTAAGAAACTCATAGGCGACGCCAATGCTGCTGGTCTGACGACCACACATTTGAGAAGTCAGCCTAAAGATACTGGCCTTTGGTTTTTTGGCCCAAACATGGGTTTCACCTGCAGAGGCAAGGGTCCTAGAATCTTAATATAAAGCATGGAGTTTTGTGCACAAAGTTTTGGCCGCTTTGTTGACTGAGAGCTGTGGCTAGGGCAGGCACTGAGAGCCGCGTAGGCTCTTATCTAGGGTAGGGACACTCAGCTGTTGGAGAGCATAGCATTCACTGCGTTAATACTTACTTGGTTTATACTTACTATGTGCCAGGTCTAATTCCAGTGTAAGGTAAAGTCCTTCTTTTTGTATTTCATATTTTATTGGGGTGAGCAAGTAAATGTATAATTTCAGGTTGTGGTTAAGTTCAAAGAAGAGAAACGAAGCAGGCTGGAGGGTAAGCTGACAGTGTGGGCAGCTGGGCGTTTAGATCAGCTGTTGGGATGACACCTCCCTGGGCCAGCGTCACACGGGTCGATGGCTCCTGACAAAGGTCAGAATGAAGGTAGACAACAAGCACAGGGGCTCTGGACATAAACCCTGTCTGCGCAGGGAGAACAAGGACACAGGTCCTGAGGTGGGAAGGAACTGGTAATGCTTCAGGGCTCAGCACGAAGGCAGGTCTGACAGGAGGGGAATAAGAGAGGAGAGAAAAAGATCAGGTCAGTCAGGTAAGCAGCCCTGATCATATGGGATATGACTGGCTGAGGTAAGTTTGGATTTTATTCTAAGGGTGATGGGAAACACTGGAGAGATTTGAGCAGAGAAATGACTTGAAATTTCAGTTTTAAATGACCACACTGGTGGCTGTGTGGTGAATACACTATAGCAGGACAAGGGTAGAAGTATGGAGACTGGTTATGGCATTACAGCAGTAGACATACTGACTCATTTCCATTGATAGGACTGTGTTCGTCTGTTTATTTTCTTTTTCCTTTTTTTTTTTGTTGAGGTATAGTTGAAATACAATATTATATTGGTTTCAAGTATACAACACAGTGATTCAACAGTTATACACATTATTAAATCCTCACCCCACTAGGGCAGTTACTGTCTGTCAATATAGGAAGATGTTACAGACCCACTATGTTCTCCATGCTTTACTTCCATCCCCATGACCAGCTTATATTATAATTGAGATTTTTGTGCCGCTTTAAACTCCTGCTCTTTCCTCCCCCATGGTAACCACCATTCACTCTCAGTGTCTTTTTTTCTTTTTATTAAGGTATCATCAATATATAATCTTACAAAGGTTTCACATGAGCAACATTGTGGTTACTACATTCACTCATATTATCAAGTCCCCCCCACATACCCCATTGCAGTCACTCTCCAACAGTGTAGTAAGATGCTATAGAGTCACTACTTTTCTTCTCTGTACTACACTGTCTTGCCTGTGACCCCTCTACATTATGTGTGCTAATCATAATGCCCCTTAACCCCCTTCTCCCTCCCTCCTCACCCATCCTCCCCAACCCCTCCCTTTTGGTAACTGTTAGTCCATTCGCGGGTTCTGTGAGTCTGCTGCTGTTTTGTTCCTTCAGATTTTGTTTCGTTGTTATACTCCACATATGAGTGAAATGATTCCATGCTTGTCTTTTTCCGCCTGGCTTATTTCAATGA